AATAAAGTTTATTATTATTATTTTATTATTATTATTAAATAGTTAGCATGAGAAGAAATCTATATGCAAATATTTTGAGAAGCTGTGTTGGGAAAAATATACAGATCAAAAGATGTTTTAGCACACCATAAAGCCTTATGTTAACTCTCAAAAGACTGTAGACAATAGTGGAATCACATGAAAGGAGGGCGATAAAATCGTCAAGAATCTTCAAGATGTATTAAAACATTAAACAATTTTTTCACAAGTTATACTCAAAGTACGAAATAACAAAATCAAAATGATCATCTAGCAGATTGCTCATATCAAAAACCTAGCAAACAGGCTAAATGTGTTGCTAAGCAATACAAATCCAACAGAAGTTCTCAAGGTAATGAGGAAACTTGAAGCAAACAATAATGTCCTTTTAAAAAGTAATATGATCAACTTTCAGCTTAAGATCATGGAGATGTGTTCATTGAAATTGTGGAACACTATATTAGACATGTCTTGGAGGGTTCAAACATACACTACTTTTAAAAACAACTAAAAAAAAATCAAATCTCACAGGACACTGAGTGCGATGTGGGTCTATTCTTAATCAATTTTTACCATTTTTATAATGTTCATATTTTTCTACATTTTTAAACATAGTCTGACAAAACATTGTTGAAGTTTTATATTTTAATATTAGTTAGTTTTTAATCTTAACTTAGCTTTAATTTATACACCCTCAAAAGGCTTTTATTTTTTCCTTTATTTCTCTTTTTTTTTTTTTTGGAGGCCTACCTGCAAACTAGCTCTTTTGCTAAGTGTACTGACTACGTTTAATACATTTACATTGATTGATGTATTGGTTGATTGTTTTCTCATTGGCTTCCTCTTGCACAAAGGTAGTCTCCTTTGTTGTGGATTAGAGAAATAATTTGCTGAAAATTACCAACAACTTCATTTGTACCCAACATTAACTTACAGGATACAAAAATAATATATTACATAAAAATGGAGAGTGTTCAAGCTGCCCATAATAACCATTAAGGGCCTAAAAGATACGGCAGCCTTACTTAAGTTTTAAATAACTTATCGTAGTAAAAAGGGCAGAGTCAGCATTGGTCTCCCATAGCTTTAGAAAATTGTTTTGTGAAATATAATTTTTTGTTTTTTTTTTTTGTTTTGTTTTAATTGTTTTAAATTTTTCCTGTGCATTAGAACTTAATGCTTGTACATTCAGTCTGTTATTTTTGTGAGATATACAACAAAGTGTCCCTAAAAGAGTCTCCTTAACTTATAATGATTTTGATTCAACTGTGATTTTCTCTTACCACTGAGTTTATCCTAGAAAAGTAACCTTTTATTTTATTGTAGGCTACGAAGGACAAAATCCCTGGGGATGAACCCTGCTGACAGGCTGGCTGTTGTAGAGCCTGTTGATCTGAAGAGTTACACAGGCTTCAGTCACAGTGATTATGGGTAAAGCATGTGAACTCACTACTTGCTGTGCATCATAATCTCAGTGTTTACAAATGATATATGTTAGTTGCAAAATTGCCTTTTTAACTCTTAATTATTGATAATGTAAATTGGCCACTGTTAAAAACTTAAGTGTTAGGCCTTTGTCATTTGCTTTGGGATTAAAGAGATAAGGTGAATTTCTCACTGGAATTGTAGGATTTAGAAAAGAATAGACTGTCTGGTTCACTTACAGTAATCATTGTATCCGTGTGGAAGCTATCTTAGATGATGTGTCATTGTTGTTAGTTTTAACTGCTTGTTTTCTATTTTACTCATTCTTGTATGTTAGTGCATTGCTTTCTATGTTATGAATATATGTGGATGTGATGACATGTTATGAAATAACACTTAAGCAGCTCAGTTTGTGTAAGCTGTGTAATCTACAGTGGTAGAGGGGTTGTGCATTTATTTGTGATTAGGTGATACAGGTGCAAAGTAGAGTATGAATATTAAATGCACTGGGTATTTCATATTATGATAGACATCCTGTATGGTTTCAAAGTTAAGTAGAGGGAAATATTCACAATAAAAACATCCAACTTCCAAAGGGTGTAGAAAAACAACCAAGGCGCATCTGGGAGATTGCTGATATTGTTGATTTGAGAGAAAACATTTCTGATGTTAACTGTGTGGCTTCAGTTATTGAAGTTAATTAGGAAAACCAGCTTTTTCTTTTCATATGGACCCAAGAAAGAAATTTTAAAGATATGGTTGTTTCCATAACTATAAAGCTTTTTTTTCGTAAGAAAATGTATTTGTTAATGGTTTTATCCTTTCTCCAAATGATCTTTATATATTGTTTTAATTTCACATTATTTCATAATTTTTTATTCTTATTATAACATGAATTTCTCATAGAAAGAAATACAAAATTACAAAAAAAAAAGGAAATAAATAAAAATGCTGAATACACAAAAGAAGAAAGTTACTCTGGAATCTCAAGAAGCTTAGTGTACATCTCTCATACTGTACCAGAGGTTACTCTCTATTTATCATATTTCAAAAATAAAATGTAGGTGACTCAATTAAGTGTTGCATGAGGAAAAATACATAGTGAAGGAAAGAAAAGGTAAAAAAATACACAAACACAGAAACGAAAAATTTCAAGCTACTTTGATTAAGCAAAATGCAAATATGTGCTTACAAAAGTTGGAAGAGACTTTTTTTTTGGTATATGTTGATAATCCACCCATCTTGATAAGACAAAAGGATACTATGTAATGAAATATCTAATAATTGTCAACTGTTAGTTTGAGGTTGTCAGTTTTTGTTCTTTTCAAAGGAAAATAAGTCAAAGCTTTGCTTAAGGGTGTATCCTTTCATCAACATATTTGACCAGAAGAATTTATAATAAATATCAATAAGTATTTGTTACATCATGGTAAGAGATGGATATGATTCATGTCTCTAGTGACCAATTAGAGCTTCCATTTAGTCAGTGGAGTAGACAAATGGTGCTAAGTTGGCTTGATGACCTTGGCCTAGGACACTATTCAGTGCAATGTGGAAGAGTGATAACATGTGGTCAGGACCTGCTTAAAGCATCACCAGCTCAGCTTGAGAAAGACATGGGATTGAAGAATCCACTCCATAGGAAGAAACTACAGTTAGCACTTCAGGTAAATTGATTATCCTCTGGTTATTAAAAACATCCATGGTAGAGGGGACCGGTAATAATAATAGCAAGTATAGGGAAATAACGATAATAGTATAATAATAATTTCTGTTAGTACAGCTGCAGCACATACACCAAAGTTTGAAATAAAATTACTATCTTCAGTATCTTCAATGTAAATGTAAAATTCATTAGGTTATTGATGCAAGTCACACATTGATGATTTTAGCATTTTGGGCTCTTTACTTTAAGTCACCCTTTCTCTTCTCCAAACTGACCGTACTAAAGTGATATCTGCGCTGACTAGATTGTGTGTTGCTTGTTGCATCTGTTTAGGCATTAGTTTCAGATGGAGCTGATGTGATGGGGAGGCTGAGTAACCACTGGGTGCTAGGTACAGTACAACTACAACTAGTACATGAACACAAATTTAGTACAAAGTTAAATACCTTTACCAATGTGTTTTTATTCATTTTAATCCTTAAACAAAAGGGAAAATTAGCTGTATAGTATGATCATTAGCCAGTCTGAAGAATTGAACACCCCACAATATTTTCAGATAATAAATGCAACTTCTAACAGGTAATGCTTTATAAAAACTGTAATTTTAACTTGGATAATGAAAAAAAAAAGGTACACTCCCAAAGCACTATGACTGGTTAGCTGGTCCTCAACAACTGTTTTTTTCATTGTGTTATGTCAGGTTGGCTAGATGACATTGGCTTGCCACAGTATAAAGACTCCTTTAGTGAGGGTTCCGTTGATGGCCATATGCTAAACTATCTCACATATGTAAGTAATGATATCCTGTTGGAGGTAGTATCATGTTAGCACTATGAATTGCGGGTAGCAGGTAGCCAGGCCATTGAACTAATATCTAGCTGACATCCTGGATTTGAATATGATGGGATGCTTTGCATTTTTAAAAAAAATGTACATTTGAATACTTAGAACAGAATTCCAATTTAAGAGAGGATGTCAGCATCCATCCAACAAATTTGAAATGGTGTGGCAAGTCGCCCTAAATTCGTTCTCTCTCCAACTTTCATATTTAGTAGCCCAATATGTCCTAATAATTGTGGTGTAGTTTTTTTGTGAAAATATATTT